TTTTTTTTTTTTTTTTTTGTTATGTGCTGGTGCCAGTTTTGAATGATATATTTTTTGATATGCATGGTGTATCTAAATTTGGTGTCTATAAATGTAGGGATGTGTTCCTGACACCAAAACATTACAAAAAGTTCATATGAACATGGGTTTGAAAGTCCTTCGTTAGGGAGTTATAGGGTTTATTGCTAATGGTACATGTGAGGCATTTAACAACATAGATTTACTAAAATTGCTCAAAGTGACCTCCTCCTGCTTTGATGTATCCCCTAAGACTGCATTCTATGCTTTGCTGTACTCTGTTAAAAATTCCTGGAGTGTTTTGAATTTGGTCAAAGCTATTTTGGATACACTCCCTCAGAACATCAACATTAGATACAGGAGTTAAATACACCAAGGATTTTAAATGTCCCTAGAAGTAAAAGTCTGTAGGATTCAAATCCAGCGATCAGGCAGGCCACTCAATAGATCCCCTTTACCAATCCATCTTTTCGGCCATACACGTAGTGCATATCCATCATTTCACTTACTGAATATATCATCTGGTAATGTTATAGAAGTTACTCTGAATAACACAAAAGAGAAAAAAAAAGATAATCAGACAAACAAAACAAATACCATGACTACAACTGTAAAGAAGAAAGTGCATAAAAATGCAAGTTTGAAGTGATTTACATAATCAGGTCACTACAGGGAATTCTTTCATAACTCTCTAACGAAGGATTTTCAGACCCATGTTCATATGAACTTTTTGTAATCTTTTAGTGTCAGGAACATATCCCTACATTTATAGACAATAATTTAGATATACCCTGTATGTGCGACAAATATTTTGTTATGCTTCATAACATGCGACTGTTTTTCCTTTGCATATGCAGACTAATGAACATTGGCTTCACTCTTACTTTAGAAAAAGCTATAATTATTGTAAGTTCTAAATGCTTGTTCTCATAAAAAATATTTTAATATATAAACTATTATATTCATTAACATATTTTCTTCATTTTTTTAAAATTTAGTAATAGAGTGCAAAAACTTTGAAATAAATAAATGTATTTATTTATTTATGAATAAACTGTGATAATAGGCTTTGTTTAGGAAGCAAATTAATTTTATATATAATAGCAAATAATATTTGAACTCATACATGAAGGCTAGAAGTAAATTAATTGTTCAAAAATGGGAAATATCATCAGAATACATTAATTAAAAATATAAGAATAAAAAGTCAGGAAAATTGTTAGAAAGTTATTAGTGAAAGTAGCATAGGATATTTTGATTTACAGCTTTTGAATCTCCACCTCCTTATCAATCTCCATCAAAAGAAAACTCCAGCCCAAGTGGTCATCAGAAAAGCAGCACTGGTCCAAGTGAAACAGCTTCCTTATCAATACGAGGCTTATCAAGTGATGATGATGCCAGTCGTTCTCCCACTTCACCTCTGCGTAGCCTTGTTGAAGACAGACAAGTAACATCAAAATCTGATGGCAATTCAGATATATGTCGGAGAGTATGTTTGAGTTTTATCACTAATTCTTAAATGATTAATATATATTAATTAATAGGATTAGACATAGAATAGACATATTAATTAAACAACAATATTTTGTGCATAAATTTCATTCTTTGACAAAGAATTGCTAGAAATTATTGAAGTAGAAATAGATGAAAATTAAAATTAAAAATTTCCTTATAAGTAGTATTTAAATTAAAGCCAAATAATTGCTGAATTATATTGGGCTATACTACTACTATATTATTAATTAAATGCTAAGTAGTGTAACTGGCAATGCAACCACACGATAAACAGGAGTTGCAGGTTTGAGTCAATTCTTCTGACTTGAATGTAACTCCTGCTTCAGACCAATTTTTTCCTTCCAAAACCTTCTAAATTAATTATTAAAATATTAATTTAATTATAATTATTAAATTTGGCAAGAGATGTTACCTAATGCCTGCCTCTAATGCTAGCATTTAATTAATAATAGTAGTAGTACTATAGCTTGATATATCATATTTACTCGTGTATAAGACAATCTCAAATATAGGATGAGGTGTGACTTTAAAGATCAAAATAAAGAAAATTAGATTTATTAATACAATTTTAATTTCATTTCATTAAATCACAAATAAAATATCAAATGCATGTAAATGCACACATCGTCCTGCAAAATTACTGGCATTTTAAGCTTTAAGGAAAAATATTGTAAAATCAACAACATAACTTCTTCATGTACTGTAAAGCTGGACAATTGGGAACCTTTTTTGCCAATTCTTAACAGTCGAATCCACTCTCCGTCAATTACACTTATGAGTTTCTCCGAATTCTGATTTCCGAATAATCATCAGTTTTCATGTTGGAATGGATTAAAACTTATATTGGGTTCCCATGTGATTTTGGAATTTTAATCTGTAATTCAATTCAAAAGCTTTGCTTTTCCTATTTCTATTCATCTTTACTCCTGACAATACACAAGAATGATTAAAGCGACCCATATAAAATACTTTTGTTTTTAAACATGAGGGTGAGTATCTGGTAAAAAATACGAATAAGTTACATGGTTGACAAAAATTATTGCAAAAATGCCAAGAAACCTTTGCTCGCACGTATAGGATGACCTAGGTTTTTGAAGCAGTGAAAAATGAATAAAAACCTTGTCTTATAAGCGAGTAAATATAGTAATTCAGCAGTCATTTGACTTTAATATATAACTGTCAAGTTTGGACGTTTACATTTGTATAATACAGTAGTCCCGAAAACTCGGCACTCGATAACCCGGCAGTCCGGATAACTCAGCCACACCCTGGCAGGGCAAAAACACCCCTAATTAATTTTCATTATAGACAGCTTTATGCCTCAAAGTATTTTTCTGAAGTCTGTCTTATCAGGTAAATTATTGTACACTGTGTATTCATTAATTTTCATTTTCATGTAATAAAGGCCTTCATAAAGTACGTACTTTTCCTTTGTTTAAGGGTATTTGGGCATTTTATTCTCTGTTGTATTCTCAAGCAAACAATACATACAAGTACAGTACAGTATTTTCTGAGGAAACACTCGTACTTATTCTTTTTTAACCCCATTCCCGATAACCCGGCATTTTCACAAACGCTCAAACTCGGCCACCCTTCGGTCCACATTAGGCCGAGTTTTTGGGACTCTACTGTACTTATAGTTTTATCTAAACATAAAAAGTTATTAAATTTGTTTCTTTCTACTTATTTTTTCACATCTTTATTGCTATTTTATATGAATATAGAGAATGATTTTCTCTCTAGAAAACCAAAATATTCCTCAATAACTTTTTGATTGCTTTATGGTTTCTTATAAACATTTACATGCACTTACCTTCTTGCTAAACAAAGACTTCCTAAAGCAGATGTTGAAAATTGCACCCTTTTAGCATCCAAACACTTTTTTTTGTAGGCAAATTACTGAGGAATGTTCCAGTTCTTAGTGAGTGAATCACTCTGTATAAAATTATATACAGGAAATTTCTAATTAATGAATTTGAAGGAGGCAATATTTTGATTTTAGTATATCTACTTATACTAAATTCTATATATGAAGAATAACAACAAATAATCAGTTATGATTTTGCAAGTATAAAATGCTTTTAGAAATAAACTTATCTAATAAGGCATGGGAAAAATTAAAAATGTATAATACTTAGTTAATTTCTTCACACTTTCATTGTATGTCACCACAAGCTATCATATTCATAGCAGTATTCCCAGAAATTAGCTGAGGCTCAAGTAAATGCTTATCAAAATGTTACATTAATAGACATATTAATTAAACAACAATATTTTGTACATAAATTTCATTTTTTGACAAAGAATTGCTAGAAATTATTGAAGTAGAAATGGATGAAAATTAAAAATTTCCTTGTAGAAAGTAGTATTTAAATTAAAGCCAAATGAAAGGTAAGTCTAAAACTTTGACTTTTAATTGACAGATGTTAGTGTTTGTCAGAAATCTATAAATAGGGAATAAAAAGTCAGGAATAAATGTTTTTAATAAAAAAAAAAAGTTGAACATTTACATAAAAAACAGTAGTGATGTAACGAATATTCAGTTACTATTCGGTATTCGGCCTATTTGGCCTATTTTTCACTATTTGGCTGAATACCGAATATTTAACCACTATTCGGCCAAATACCGAATACCTAAAAACAGGAGTAATAAATAACAAAAACACAGTAAATTAATCATTTTGGTATTTAGATTTAATGTTATCGAGTTAGTGTTGTTTGTTTATATTTATTTATAACTTGTAACATGCACAAAATAAAAAAGAAAATAATATTAGTCACATGTATTCACAATTTATAATTACAAAGATCAGCACACGTACACGTCTATCGTTGGAGAATCCTCGCACATCTGAGGGTCTGACCCTGCCTATCCTTCTTTTTAAGCGCTCGTCTTTGCTCTTCCCTTTCTCTTTCCTCTATCGCTCTAATCCATGTATGCCTGTGCATACATCATAATACGCGCTCACGATACTTTCGATTCGTCACTTTTCCGTCGTAGAGTTCCCATTTTACAATTACGTGACTCAGCCTGGTGATAACGGAGAAAAGAGACAGATAGGACGTCGATATAAGTCACAGTTATGATTTCACAGATTCGAGACAGCTTGATAGCCCGAACGGCCCCAGGCTTTCGCCCGTGCACGCTAAGTGACTTTCATTACAAGCATTTAGCTTTCCGAAGTCTATGACAACAATTGTTTGGCATTGACGGCCGCGAATTTCGTGCCAATAAGCTGCCTCGACTTGTTCGATTATGTTATCAACTCAATTTCATATTTATTTTCACATTTTCACTTCGCGGTCCTTCTCTGTTCTTTTTCCGTTATTTACACGTGTAGGTCATTTCATCGTTATCCACATTTGATATCGTCATTTATCACATACTTCCATGACACTCTTGTCTGTCCGCTACAACTGCCAAGAATTAACGTGATTGGCGAAGCGTAGTGACAGCGGGCCAATAGAGAGCAGGATCCTTGCCATAATGCGGTTTGCGCGCAAATTTTCGTACGTGCGTTAATCGAGCCGAATAGTTTGGCCGAATATTCGGCTATTCGGCCACGCTCTTGGCCGAATATTCGGTATTCGGCCTGAGGCCGAATATACTATTCGTTACAACACTAAAAAACAGCAATGAATTTAATAAAATAATAATGTTTTCAATCAGCTTCACTGACCTTCTTCATTTACGATAGAATGTGAAAAATAGAACATGAATACAAAAATTTAAAAACGAGTTCACTTTTTTAAATTTTTGTATTCACGTTTTATTGTAACTGAAGAAGGTCAGTGTGCTGGTTGAAAACATTATTATTTTATTAAATTCATTTGCTGGATTTTTAAAGGTGTGATTTTTTTGTGATCTATCTATCCAGTTAGTGCAAAATATATGGATATTCAAAAATAACCCATTTGGCAAGAAGTCAAAGAGCTGGCAGCTCTACCTCCTGATCTGTGTCTATTTGAAACCATCTGTAATTGTTGAAGATGGTAATGCTTGTAATTGGAGTTAGTATCTTGAACCTTTCTTCAAATAGTTATTTTTAATGTCTGCTACATCATGAATGCAGGAGGTCAGAAGTTCAAATTAAAGAAAATTTTAGATGTTGTAATTTGTTCATTATATGGCATCATAAACCCCATATGTTTGTATACTGTGTTTTCTGGGGATTAACAGGTGTTCAATATAGGAAGAAGGTTTTTATATGAAGCATTCAAAGTTCAGGAATTTTTTTGTACATGATTTTATATGTTGATGCAAAATAACCCAAATTATATGTCAATTTGATACTCATATTTCCAGTTCTTAATAGAAATTCTGATTTACTTATTATTATTATTATTATTAAACAATAATGTTAATATTTTATCATTGTAATAATATCAGTATAGTGGAATTATTTAATTTATATATTTATTTTCTAAACAGGAATAGATGATAATACAAAATTTTCTGTAGTAAATATTAACATAAAAATATCCAATCTGATTTGACTATAAAAATTAACAGTTAAAGATATAAATTCACCAAAGATTTTTATAAGAGAAAAACTCGTCAAATTTCATTGAAAAATCACCACATCTCTACGTGCACTCCAACAGTTACACTGACAATATGAAGACAATAAGCAATTTCTTGTTATGTACACTACATTATGTGCTGTCTTACAGTGGCAATGTCTGTGATGATGCACTCCCAAAGATCCTGAAGGTCTCTGACCAAAGTTGCATAAACCAAATCTTTCACATAACTTCACAGAAAAGAACCTAACAGGGTCAGATCAGGAGATCTTGGCAGCTATGCATTTGGGCATACCAGACTACAACTTGTACTTTCTCCTGTGGCAAAGCCATGATTGGACAATAATGCTCATGATTTGACTTCTGCATCAACTTTCAATATGAAAAAAAAAATCTCTGTAAAACTTAGAGATTTTCCACCAGATACCACTTGTTTTTATATATCTTAAA